GACTATTGAGCCTATTTTTGGTTGTCTATGCAATATGATTAGATTGTCTAATTTGAGATACATTACATATCCCCAAGCTCTGACTGGGTTTACATTTTATCCGTTTAATACTTTCCTATGGTCACATAATGCCTGACAATAGGTATCAAGAAATAACTGTTGCTTTAGGATTTCATTCTATTTTGAAAGGTTTACCTCTGTCATTTATTATCAAACACACTTATTTGAAATCTAATTAAGAATTGGATCAAATTGGCATTTCATATAATATAAGCAAAACATTGCTTAAATTTATATGGATTTAAAAGTCTTTTTTTAAAATTAGCATTTCAATGAAAAAAGAAAAATAAAAGCTTAGCACAGAAAAAAAAATAGTTGATTTTGTACTGGCCAGGTAATTAAAGCTCTCTTTGATTTGAATTCAGAGTATTTTCTGAAGCAGCTCCCTTTAATAGTACTCAGTTTCCAAAATGGCACAATGCAGGCCAAATGCAGCCCACAAATACACATTTGGTCCACAGAGCATTTAAAAGTCAGGATAGGAAGTCAGTTGTCCCCGGCCCTACACACAGAGTTTTCAGCTGTACTTGATTCCCCATTCTCGCATCCCATTGCAAAACAGGGCCTCTGCTGCCTTCTAATGCTGCACAGCCCTCACCATACCTGGATTCCACCTTTGCACTTAGCGCCTCCACTTGCCAGTTGCTCACATTTAAGGTGCCTAATTTGCACATTGTTAGGTGGTTTCCTGATACAGACACTCTCACGAAAGGGACAAATTGGGACTTCCCTCCTTCCCTCCTCTTGGTACCTATGGGCCTTACTGCCTAGATGGGTCACCTTTTGTCATTTACAAAAGATTAGCCCTTTCAGGGTTCTGATCTAAGTTTGGAAAGTCCTAAGAGCAAGCATTGTCTTACTTGTCTCATTTGACTTTATAATCTTAGAGTTAGGCAAGTCTGATACTTACAATAGGATTCAAGAAATGTAGAGCAAATAAATGATTCTTGAATATGTTTCTAGCTCCTACCTTCTACCAAAAATTATTTTCAAGGACTCTCAAAAGACATAGGGTATATTTGGGAAACATTGACACCTTCATAATTTCTAGCTAGGCTTCCTTTAAAGTGAATTTTTTGAACTCTTATTGACTAATTGAATTTTTCCATACTGAGATTCCACTTCCTTTTCCTATTTGCATTTGTATTAGAGTTCCATGATGAGACTGAGGCCTGGGCATCCAGCCACCCCAGCTCCAAGTCCATCTAGTCTTTTCTACTTCCCTTTACCACTGGGCACTTTGAAATCCCAATATGCCTTTTTACAACACAAAATTCCCATCAATCATTCTCTACTTCTGCAAGCAAAGCAAACTTTCTTTACAAATACCCACACATACCCCCTACACACACACACTAAACTAGAAAAGTTTTTTGTTTATAATCTATGATATCCATGTATTTAAAAAATTGATACAGAGATAATTTAATTTTTGCTAATTTGTTTACTTATCTGCAAAGGATTAGATGATTTATGAAAGCAGGAAAAAAATAAGAATAAAAAACTGACAAAAATCAAGACCATGAAAAAAATTAGATTAGGTCATAAGCAGAAATCAGGAAACGAAAGTACAAAGTCATAGAATTGCTTTTGAGATCCTTAGTAAATCAGAAGAAAAGAAAATCAAAACTAGTTTACTGATTTGTCCCCAAAGAAAAATACATGCCAATATTTCTCCCAAAGAAGCAACATTTTCTTTACTACCTTATTCTGAAATAAATGTGTGATGTGTGACCATATGGGCAGCAGTGGTGATGAGGGTGTTGGTGTTTGTCATGGAATGGTGTCTTGTATAATGTCCTTTACAAATTCAGGAACTGCTACATTCTCCTTCTTAAAAAGGTTCTCAGGGCATCCTGAGTGAAAGGTGAAGCTATTACATCAAATATGACTCAGAGGAGGCAGTTCTACAGATGGCCCAGAAAACAAAACAAAACAAAAAATAATTGAAGTAAGGATACATTGTGATCTGAGAAGAAATCTTGAAGCAGTATTTCTCAAAGACAGGTATGCAGATCCCACACACAGAATCACCAAGGAGTGCTTGTTAAAACCACACATTCTCCAGATCTACAGAGCAGGAATCTCTGGGGCATGGGCCTGAAAATCTGAAGCTTCACAAGTTCCCAAGTAATTTTTAAATCCCATTAGAGCCAGAGAACCTCTGCCCTAGAGCAGTGGTCTCTAGAAATTTTGCTTGTGTTTTCTAAAAGAATTTTGAAAAGGTAAATACCATTTCACATGGTTTTAAGTTCGCACCTAAAATTTTTCATTCTAATTTTAAATGGGCACAATAAATATAATCTCTAGTATATTCTAATATTGACATTTTCAAATAAATATTTCATATCACTTTATTTTCCTTTATTAATTTTTTGGTACCAGGGATTGAACCCAGAGGTTTTAACCACTGAGCCACATGCCCAACCCTTTTTATTTTTTTGTGTTGAGACAGGGCCTTGCTAAGTTGTTTAGGGCATCCCTAAGTCGCTGAGGCTGGCTTTGAACTTGCTATCCTCCTGCCTCAGCCTCCCAAGCCTCTGGGTTATAAGCATGCACCACCACCTGGTTCATATCACTTTAATAAGTATTCAATGAATCTTAAATGCTCCTATCAGGTTCTATCATACTTCTCTGCAAAATGATGTATATATACATTGAAATTTTATTTTTTTTTTATTTTCTATGACAAAGTGTTAAAATTTCTTCAGAATCATATCAATATTATAATTATTAGTAGTACACAAGTAACAAAACATGTCATATACATTTTATAAACAACTTTTAAGTAGAACAATATTTTTGAAAATACTTCTATTAATTTGATGGATAGACTACTTTATCCTAGTTAGTTTACGTATTCATAGATTACTTATTGCTAGAATAAGACAGGCTTTCAGAATCTATTTTATTCATATTCTTTGTATTACATATAATAATCATTGAGAAAATTAGTAGATGGGAATAGAAGATGTTTTGTCATAGCAATGTCACTCAAATTTTTGAAACTCCTCAATTATAAGACAAATTTCATATATAATTTATTAAACAATTTAATTTAATAAATTTAAAGTAAAATTTGATGTCTTCCTTCAATTTTGCTGAAAGCAAAGAATTAGACCACTGGAGCTATATATTAACAATCCTTCACTCTCTTTAACCCCAACACCAGAACTTTGAATTGCAGTTAGTTTAATGTCCTTGAGGATTTTATATACCCCTAAAGGGAGTCACTTAAATAAGATTCCAGATAGTTAAAAGCTATTTTATTATTTTAATAAGTAAGTAAAAAGCAATTGGGAAAGGGGAGGTAGAAGAGACAAGGGGCACTTTCAGGTAGACCCTTTTTAGTAAAGAATACTTGTGAAAAATTGAGGATCCTGGAAAAGTTTCTTTAAGAACTACCTTTGCTTCCATGTTTCTTAAAAAGTCTTTGTGAAAGTTCACATACCTCTGTTTAAAGACCATTGTACTAATTATCTGAATAATTTAAGAAAATGCATCACTCAATCTTCTCAAGAACCTGAATTCCCTCCAAATGTGTGTACAGATCAAGTTTGGACAGTTATAACAAAGGATTAAGGAGGAGGATCCAACAAAATGGTCATAACAAATACCAAAGGGAGATGTGAGTGATTTTTAAGAGCTGACAAGTTATTGATATTATGATTTTGCCAGTGCTTCTTTTTATTTTAGTAAATGGAATTCTTATAACCCCCTCAAGGGTTGAACTGGTTGTGGGTCAGAAACCTCAGGTTTCCTCCATGAGGTATTCTGTAATTTTGTACTACATTAAACCTGAGGGAAGTGGATAAAAAAGTCTTAGAGCTTTTCTTCCTCCCTCTACCCCTCTTCACTTTAATATGAAAATAATTGCCTCTACTCTTGGAGACCTGGCTTAATTAGACTAATCTAATTTTCTGCTGGCAAAACTAACGCTAAAATGGTATTGCTCTGAGTTCTCTAATTATAGAGCAATCACACTTTTTTTTAACAGATACTAAAACCAAATGCTATAATGTTGGATGAGGTCACAGTGAATAACTTGTTATAGGCCTATTTTGAGGTTCCACATGATTTTCAGTGAATATTATGCAGTGACAGGATACAAAGTTTGCTGCAGAAAAAAATTATGAATTGCTACTATAATTTATCCAAGTAGTGATGAAGTTCCACAGGTTATTTCATAAGAAACATGTTGACTGACCATAATCTCTGTTCTTCCTTCCTCACACTCTTCAACCATGCTCCCTTTCTGGTTTCCCTCTCTCTGAGCCATCTATCTTGTCATTTTCTTCCCTGTACAGCCTGAACACTGTGGTCAACCTCTTAATGGATACCCTCACCAGCATTCTCAGCCTTCTGACTCCCTTGAACTTATTTGTTCTGCCAAGTCCCAGCCTAGAGTCAACCAACCATCTGTTTCCTATACTATTGCTAGTTTGCTAAAGACTGCTGGAGAAAATTGTTGTAACTGCTGATTCACGGCATGACAAATCTTCAGTTTTCAAACTCACCTTGACCCTTAGCACTACATGGCAGTCCTTTCACTCTTGTCTAATTGACTTCTTTTACCACTGTTCAGGTGCTGCTCCAAGTCATCACTCTTCCAAGATTTTCTACCATACCTCCCTAAACAATGGTTGATTTAACTTCCTTCTTCAGGAAAAATTAGTGTTCAGCTTCTTTCCCTCCCACTTCTAATGGTCTCCTACAGAATCAGCCTCCTTTCTCTCTGTCCCAGAGAAATGTGCATCAATTGCCCTCCTCTCAATACCATTAGGGTTTTGTTTGTTTGTTTTAAAGCTCTTCTGTATACATTATCATAAGATAAATATTCTGCTTGGAAATCATATTCCAAGTTGAAGAAATGGACATTAGAATGTTAGGAAATAAACATTGCTGATTGGCTACAGAAAAGACCACATCAGAATAGTAAGTGTTCTTCTTCTTTGAGTCATTCAAAAGCAAGGACAGAAAGGAAGGTGAGTTGGGATGCTGCCTGTCCATTAAATGTTTTAAATTCTATCACAGTTGTGTCAGCCAAATGTCACCAAGTGAATTTAAAGAAATTGTGCTTTAGTGATCAATGCCATTTTTGTTCTCTGCTGTTTAGTACTACTTGCTAACATGTGCAATTTAAGATGTTATTAATAACTAGTCCATCCAGTATCTCTTCTTATTGTGAGGAGTTTACTCACCTTCATTCATTCCAGATTTTTCATAGAAAAAATTTTCCTAGGAAAACCAATGGGAATTATGGTTGGCTTGTTATGGTTTTTAAATTTAATATCATACTAAACTAGTTATCACACGAAACTTTCACATGATACATGTATGCTTTAGTAAAAGTGTTTGTAGAGTTTGCCTAAAAAGAAGCTTTGATGTAGAGGATGTTTAGAGGAGATGTTTATCCTGTGTAACCCAGGGCAGATCCAGATTTTGTGGCAATCTAATCATATATGGTTCTGGGAAGTTTGTCTTTCCACAGAAGGATTCAAGTTTATAATAAAAAATGAGGTTCAGAATCTTTGGAAGCAATCTTGAAAAGGAAGGGCTCTGAAGTTTAAGCTTCATTAGCTTCAGATTAATCAGTTTTTTTTAATCTGGCCACTTAATTGAGTCATTAAACAAACCTAAATCAAACAAAAACTTATGAACTGCAAATACCTAACATAAGCCAGGCATTTTACATATCACATTTCATGCTCACAACAAACTTATCTACCATTCTTCTTTTTATAAAGTAAAAGCAGAGGCTCAGAGAATTAAGAAACTTGCTCACAGGCAGCCCTGCTCATAGTGAAGCTGGGATCTAAACCAAGCTCTGAAAAACAATCTAGTATTCTCCCAGTACAATATTTTGTCCTTAAGGTTTTCCAAAAGATAAAAGGTTAAAGTTACTTGGGAGAATACCCCTAGAAAATGGCTAGAAATGCTCAGTCAGTGAAATTGACATGATTTAATTTATATTGGAGACATTCCCTGAAAAATACTGCCCTAAAACTGTGTTTAAAGGGTGTGAAGACACAAATATTTAACTCTCGGATTATTATCTTCCCCTCACTAAATGACAGGATGAAGACAGAAGATCTTAGGGTCCAGAAGACAATGTGGTTCTAATAAAAAGAGGAAAATAGAGGCAGAATCAAAATCTAGAGGTGAGTCTAGAATTATAGTTTTCTAAGAAAGAGTCTGGCTATAGAAGGATCTAGTGACAGTGTGGATCTTTCACAAATTATATCCTCTTGCTACATGTCCAATATTTTTTAACCTTGACGTTATGTCAGATTTTAAAGATTAGAAAATAATGACAATGGCTCATCTATAACTTTTATATTCATACTCTTCATTTGCCAATTTGACCTCTATTATTTTTAAACAGAAATGGCTCCTCCTTTTGTTAAACCCCCTGGAAGTAGGGACTATGCCATTTCATCTTTTCCATTCTCAAAGAATCCAGCACTTGGTATAGATAGGAATTTCACAGAGGTTTATTGCCTTGATGTTGATGAGTTATTTTTGATAGGTCATCATTTTCTAACATAATAGAAATTCCATAATGTAGATAGACTTTGATCCTACCCTACTTCAGAATAAAATTTTTGGTGTTTGTCTAAAGCTAAGATAAAAATTGATCTGATGTAGTTAAGTTTTTTGGTCAACAGGCTACCAATGGTGTTACTTAAAAGACCTCTTGATTTTGTGGTCTTAGGGCTATTGTGACCTCAAACTGTAACTTAAATTAGTCCAATGCAACAGGAGTTTCAAGAACAGCAGCCCCCAAAAGATGTCTTAACTGGATGGGAAAAGAAGGCACGTATTTTCAAGAAGGCCTCTTTATTAATAAAGTAGAAGTTTCCCTTCAAGATGACAAGTGGTGCAAATTCCTCAGGTTCTTACTTGTCCTCAAAACGGTGAGTGTTTGGAAAAAGCCAAATGACAACTAACCAGGAGGGAAAGGAGAGTCTGATTAACCCAGGCTAAAGACAAATATTATTTGATGTCTCTTCTCACAGAAGTTCTAAAATAGATGACAACTACTTGAAGGAATTGAATGAGGACTTAAAGCTGAGGAAGCAGGAACTTTTAGATATGTTAAAACCTCTAGAAAATAAGAACAACCTCTTATTGCAGAAGTTAATGTCTAACTTGGAGGAAAAACAAAAAAGGTAAGGGCTCCCTACTCAGGTTGGAGAATTTAATCTCCATAATATTAGCAATAAGTATTTACATTGCTTTGTTTTTGTTTTCAAATTTGGACAAACAGGTCTAGTAAAATGTAAAGAATATGTAATCACAAAGGGGTGAAGATGAATCCTTAATTTTTTGGTAAAATTAAATTAAAAATTAAATCAACTCTCATCTCATGAGGCTACAACTGTTACTCTTCCTCTATAAAATGCCTACTCAAGGAATAGGTAACAGATTTCAACAGCTTCAGTCTATCATGTTTAGACTCATAGCTTCCTTGTTCATGTTTATAAAATCATTTTAAGAAAAATATTCTGCTTTTTCTATTCAAGCAGTGGAGTAGTGATCTTTTCTGAGCCTAAGAGCCCTTCAGATTAGGATTCTGCCTCTGTAAACATATGAGGAAGACATAATTTTTTTGCTACAACATTCACTGTTCCTAGGACCCACAAACTCTGTTTCCTTTCTGGCCTCAAAAAATATCATGCCAATTGATCTATCTTCATATACCCTCATCATAAGCCTCTTGAGGAACCTGGACTTTTGGAAAACAAATAACAGATAAAAGGGCTGGGGTTGTGGCTCTGTGGTAGAGTGCTCATCTAACATGTGTGAGGCACTGGGTTCGATCCTTAGCACCACAAAATAATATAAAAAATAAGCAAAATAAAAGTATTGTGTCCATCTACAACCAAAAAAAAAATTGTGGTCAAGCACCAGCTGCTTATACCAGCTACTTAAAAACACCAGACTTCTCTCAGGGCAACAGAAACAAAGGCTTAGACCTGAGGAGGAAGAAGGGCAAGGAAATTGATCTGATGTAGTAAAGTTTTTTGGAAGAGAAATATAATCAATGCCTTCAAAAAATATCTTCTCTCACAGTGTGGAGACTTGATATTGATTCAGATTTTGCTAGGAATTTCTTAATGGCTTGCATTCTTTGAGGATCCACCAAGGATATATGGATTCCCAACAAAGCCAAATGTCTTTATTTGGAAACTCAAGGAGTAGGAGGAGGTACACAGAGAAGGGATAAGGAATAACTCTGGAATTTTATCCTGAAGACATCAGGTTTTTAAACCTCATCCTTTACAGGGGCAAAACTGCTTCTTCCTCCCCCCAATATGCACCAAAACATTTTTCTGAGGTGACAGAGAATAATCTTGTTGGCTATTGAAGACCAAAGTTTTGAGCACTGAAGAGCATAGAACTCATTACTGAGCATACAGCTATGGCAAATGTAAATTAGGGATAGAATAGTCTCAGTTACAGAGACTTTCCATGTCCCAAAGGACTTCTGAAACCCATAAGATTCCAGCCCCCTTATTACTTCTGTGGTAGAGTACTTTCTGGCTGGTTGTAGAATACTAATATTATCTTTTAGGAAGGTTTGCAGGTTTAATGATGTCTATTTTCCTTCTAGTTTGCAGATCATGAGGCAGATCATGGCAGGGAAAGGATGTGATGAATCCTCCGTCATGGACCTCATTAAAGAAGCAGAGGAGATGAAACAGAACCTGGTAAGAGGCTGGTGGGTACTCTGGGGAACAGCTTTCTAAACAGGGCTCAGGTCCACTGCTGTTGTTAGATGTGGAAGTAAACACACAGTGCTCATCTCCAGCATCTAATGCTTCAATACTCTGATCTCTTTGATCTAGAAAGTCCAAGGTGATTCAAAGAGAGTCAGATGGAGTATTGGGAAGGACAAAGACTAGCTAGCAAAATTCTATTTCTTTGACTTTTCAATAGCTTTTCACGTATGCATTAATGGATATAAGCACATTAACCATTCATATATCTAAAGAACAGAATATACGTATTAAAGTAAAAGAAAATAAATAATTTGCTCTGAGAGTCTTAGAAAAAAATCTTTTAAAATTAAATCAACAATGTAAAAGGATCTTAAATATTAGAAATTAGTGGTCTAAGCCCCAGAGAAATTGTCTTATGATGAGAACATCTTAAGTATTAGATACTTATTTCTATTAATACCAGCTCATAATACCATAATTAAAGTTATTACTTGAAATAATAACCTTTTTTAACCATTGTCATCACCACCATCATCAAACTTACCTCTCATGTTTCTGGATTTGGGGCTAGGTTCATTTACTGCCTTCTCTGTGGTTTACTTTGTCCCTGATCCCTTTTCCACCATTAGCTTAGTAATTTCTTCAAACCTCAATTTAATGACTAGACAAACACATGTCTCTGTTTGTTTGGTTCCCCCCCTCCAACAGGAAAGGAAAAACAAGATGCTTCGGAAGGAAATGGAGTTGCTATGGAACAAGGTGTGCCTCTAAGGATCTCTTGAAAGTACTGTCCTACAGTTCATAATGCAAAGAATCCCCAATTCCTCTGGCCCCATTCTCATTTTTGTATGCTCTGCTTCCACCCTTGCATTATTTCAACCCCCCCCCTTTTGGTATAGCAGTCAAAGTGATCTTTTCAAAACAGTCAAAGCATGTCACTCTTCTTATGAAAATCCTTTATAGCCTTCTTATTGTGGCATAATCTTGCTCATGTCTACCTCTCTGGTCTCCTTTCATAGAAGTCTTCCCCATACTTTCTATGCAGTCACCCTACAGGTGACTTGTGATTTCTCCTTGTGACAGTCGTTTCCTATCTCTGACCTTTGTTTATGCTTTACCCCCTGTCTGTAATGCTATTATGGTTGGCTTATCCTCATTCTTCAGATCTCAGCTTAAATATTACCTCTTTAGAAAAACCCTCCATGTTTATTCCATCTAAAGAAGAGCACCCTCCTGTTCATGTCTTCAGTAGCACTTTTCATAATGTTAACTTATTACTTTTTATTGTATTATTATTATTATTCCTTTCTTGTCCCTTTACCCCATTCTGGGATAAAACTTCCTTCAGTATCTTGATTGCTTTTTCTAAATCCCTAACACATATCACAATGCTTGGAACAATAATAGAGAATCAATAAATATAAGTTGAATTAATGAACAAAGGAATACTTAATTCTAATGCCCATATGATTTTGCAATAATCATGCATTATTTAAGATAATAATATTTGGACCTTTTCCTGGAAAACCAGGAGGGGAAATACATTTGTGAACTATCCCTTGGAACCAGAGTGTTATTTCACAGATTAGCACTGCAATTGGAAGAATGGATAATCTTGTGACATAAACAGGTGTGTGGTGTGAGCTGACTGCTTTTTTTCATCTCACCTTTCCACAAATAATCAGGATAACTCTAAGCCCTGAATCTTGAAGTAAGATCTGCTCCTACTTCTCAGCAGCAGTTACAAATAACTTCTATAAATTATGAGAAGTTCTATAAATTATGAGAAGTTCTAGTTTCTAAGTTCTTGAGTCTTTGTGATAGATAATGTGCCAGCACAATTATTCTATGGAAATCCAGCTTCTCCAGAGCTACCAAATACTTTTTATAGCATATGTCTATACACCTTAGTTTGTGATCAACTTTATCTCTAGATTGGGAGAAATGGAGACAAGCAGCATGCCTAGTGGCTAAGAACACAGGCTTGAACAGAAATATGTTTCAAATAGCAGCTTTGAACTTTCCTAGCTATGTGACCCTAAATAAATTATTTAACCTCTCCAAGTCTCAATTTTCTCATTATGAAAATGAAAATAAAATCAGTATCCAAAGAGCTGTGTGGATTAAGAAAGAATGATTGTAATGTACTAGTGACAGTAATGTAGTAAGTAGGTTCTAGTAGCTGTTGGCACATAATAAGGGTTGAATTTAGTATCTTTTTAACTATAAGGTATACTCGGGCTGGGTGTGGTGGCATATGCCTGTGATTCCAGCAACTCCGGAGGCTGAGGCAGGAGGACTGCAAGTTCTAGGCCAGCCTTAGCAATTTAGTAAGACCCTGTCTCAAAATAAAAAATAAAAAGAGCTGGAGATGTGGCTCAGTGGCAAAGTGCTCCTGGGTTCAATCCCCAGTACCAAAATGTGTGTGTGTGTGTGTGTGTGTGTGTGTGTATGTGTGTAATTTATGATATAAATGATATTATGTAAAATATATTATATGAAATATATAAATTTATTTTACATATATACATATATGATACATACACACATATGTAAAAATTTATATATACATATATAATATACATGTATAAATATATATGTGTATACATATACATATATACACATATATATAAAATTTTATTCATTTGTGTGTGTGTATATATACATATATACACATATATATAAAATTTTATTCATTTGTGTATATATATACACATACATACACATATATATATATTACACTCAGGGATCAAAGGGAAAGACTCATTACCTTATGAATCACCTTTGGTAGGTTGGGCCAAGTTGGGCCCTGAGAAGTTGCAGACTGGCAGGAACCAAAAGCCTTGATTCATATTGGTTTTCCACTTCCCTCTTTAATTCCTACTAATTTAAAGCTCTGCCACAATGTCTCTCCACAGACATTAGAGACAGAAGAACTCCGTGATCAACAAAAGACACCACAGATAAAAACCAGGGCAGACTTACATGATGGAAAGGCAAGTGGATGGCATGTACTTAGAATTATAAGATTGTTGGTGCCACATAGCTGGAAATAACCTGTTACTAATCAGGTCTGGTTTGGGTAGGTAGGATCTGGGCTTTTAGGGTATAGTAGATCTTATGGACTACAAGATATTGCACTTTTTCCTGGGACCTCCTATTTCTTTAGTTCTCTTCTTTCATCCCAGGCTCCCAAATTCCCCTCATCACCTAGGAAGATCAAGAGTGAAATGGAGGGGCTGGGAATGTGGCTCAAGCAGTAACACGCTCGCTGCCATGCAGGGGGCGCTGGGTTCGATCCTCAGCACCATATAAAAATAAAACAAAGATGTTGTGTCCACTGAAAACTGAAAAATAAATATTAAAAAAATTCTCTCTCTTCTCTCTCTCTCTCTCTCTTAAAAAAAGAGTGAACTGGAGACATCATTTGCAGAGAAAGTAAAGGAGATAAGGAAGGTAGTACAATCATTGTGAATGGTAGTAGTTTTTGGAGCTGATAAACTAGGTATCTTTAATGTAGCAATTATCTGCCTAAACTATGGTGTACTCCTGAACCAATTCAAATTTTTATAAGCAATCCACTTCTTGTGGATATTATATTTGAGTTGGAGTGACATGACAAATTTCTGGGAAATCATGTTATCCAGGACAAAGTGAGAAAAGCTATACCAACAATGACAACTCTAGAATAGCTACTTGATGTCTGAACACTTATTAGTTTGTCTTAGAGAATGCATTTAGAGTATTATATTTGTGTATCATCATCCTGTAACTGACTCATTCACAAAAAATGGCCTATTCATTTATCTTTTAGATTTTAGAGAGTGGATTATACAGGGAAGGCCAAGTAAGGCAGTTGAAACCAAATGAACAGTGAATCTATGACACCATAATTTTTCTATAAGGTTGTTACAGCATATTGAGAAAACTGATTTTTGATCTCAATTTACTTTGTCACCCAGAGGCTCTTTCTTCCACCAGGAAAAGCAACAGAGGAAAATGGAATGGGTCAAGTATCAGGAACAAGCCAACACTCTTCAGGTACCAAGGTCTTCAATGTCTGGACATGGGATGCAATTTCATTTATACAATATAAGGGCTTTTATAGCTTTATATTATTAAAGACCCATTCCTTCATCCTGGGTTACCAATTGTCCTGCTAAAGGAATGTATCCTGGAGAGATGGCTGAAGTAACCTATCTCTGTCTTCACCTTGAATAACTTGTAATAAATAGTATTTCATCGTAAATTCTTGATTTTGTTCTATTTAAAATGGGGGGGGGGTGAGGAGGACAAGTACTATCTGCTCAACATTAAAAGACTGAGCATGAGGATATTATTTTTAATTTCTGGGTGAAGAATATTCAGATAACCGTAGATTTAGAGAAATCAATGTTGTATGAGTAGTTTTGAAAAAATGTCCTCTTTCAGAATGACTTCCATGGTAAAGTGATTGAGCTGAGAATTGAAGCCTTGAAGAACTACCAGAAGGCCAATGAATTGAAATTATCACTGTACTTACAACAGAATTTTGCACCAAAGCAAACATTTTTAAATCTTCCAGGATTCCAAGGTAGGTAAAGTATCATATAGTTACACAGCTGGAGGATTTTTGTTGTTGTTGTTGTTGACATTGAGATCCCATTACTTATAAAATGAAAAACATTGTTTACATGGTAAGTTAAATATTAGTGGTATAATAATAAATTATTTCAATATCATCATTATTAGTATTATTCAGAAACTCTTGTACCAAGGTAAATATTCTCTCTGGAGGAAACTATTTTCTTTGTACAGATTAAGTAATATGTCATGTTCTTAATATATGCTGATAACATAGCATGCAATAAAATATTAGTTTTCTATCTTTTCCCCTTACCTAGAAATCAGAATGGTTTGATTTCATGAATGTAAAGGAAATAGACTCTCTTATTTAAGAGCAGAAGGCCAAGAAGATAGACATCTGACAACTGTTGTTGAATTTTACTTATCCAGAAGTTCCTCTGGGAGTTTCAATGATTTTTCTCTAAGGAATTTATGGCATTGTTACAGGAAATCATGTAGTTTTCCATAAAAAATAGAATAAAAGAATGATGCTGAGGTCCAGGGAAAGAATTCATACATTTTCAAGTATATATGAACTTAAAACTGCAGTTTAAAAAAGGACACACAATGGGAAATCATAACCAAGGAATGACAATTTTCTATCAGTGTAAGTATGTAGGTCTCTAATTTCTTCTCAGTTTTATTCCATAAAAGGTTCAAAAGGCTTATAAAAGTCACACACAGCACATATAATAAATTAGATTAGATGAATAAATCAAAGGCAAGAGAAAATTAGTTGAAACTAGGTAAATAAATGAAAATCATGATGGAAGTGTACTATGTAGTTGGTAGTGGTAGGCTATAAATTTGATTCCAAATTCCCTAGCAAAACAAAACAAAAAATGAACTTGTAGCTTCCACAAAATAATAGCAAACCAATTGCTCAGGAGAAGCATAGCTTTTCCTGATACTCAGACCTGTGAGAAATTTCATCATTGTAATGAAGACAGGACCCTATATATCTAATAATATCAATATCCTCAATGATATTTTTCAATGATTTAAAAAATCTAAAATTCCTAAGTTGTTTATCATCTGTTCCTCAGCATGATATAATAAAAAATTATTAATCTGAAATTTTTAAAAAGGATAGATCAACTTAAGATGATTTGGTACAGGCACATAGCATTCTATCTTGATCCATTGGTTAAAATTTAGAAAATCTAGAAAACTGAATAGATGGACTACCTATACTCCAGGTAATGTTCCACACATATTTTTCTTTCAACTTATGTCTTGAGAAGAACTTGACAGCTGAAAGCTGGAAAGAAAGAACCTGGAATGCAACCAGAAGCAATATTAAGATACAAAAACAACAAAAAAAGAGGAGAGTTATGAGGAAGACAGACAGCCCCCTGTTTACCTCATTGAAAATTAGCCAAAGGTCATCTCAAGTGATTCACAGAGCCAAGGATTCAAATGTCTTTCCAGATTCAAGTCAAGCCCAGATTATTTAAGTAGTGAAGAATTCCATTCAACTTAATTGTCTCAGTGGGGTTTTATTTCCCCCTTGCCCACAGAACATAGAATCAATTTGAACTAGAATTGCCTACAGATCAACATATTTCCTCTTTCTTCTCCTATACTCCTGGAAAATTAAGAGATAGGGTACTATACTGCTAGGTTACTACAAACAAATGCAGCCCCAGCCTGAATGTCCCACTGGTCTTGTGTTTTACTGATTCTACATTCACCGAGCACTGATTACATTCCTGTTTTATTTTCTAATACACATAAAATCTTTGGGTTTATTAGAGCCCTAGTGGATCTGAAATCTAACAGAGTTCTCGATTTTAGTTATGTTGATTTATAATTATAGCCTCTAGTGTTTGATTATTAAAAAGAAATATTAGGCTGAGCGTGATGGCACAAGCCTCCTTGGGAGGCTGAAGCAGGAGGATCATAAGTTCAAAGCTGGCCCCAGCAACTTAGCAAGACCCTGTCTCAAAATTTTGAAAAAAGAGAAAGGTGTGTGCTGGGGATGTAACTCAGTAGCTAAGTGCCCCTGGATTCATCCCTGATTCAAAAAAAATATTTTTCATCATGGAAGAATTGTTAAAGTAACCTTATTAAGACTTTATTATAAACAGTGATATAATAGGGAAGTAGTTAGTGATGGTGTTTTCCACAATTTTTGCTATTTACACTGATTTATCTTTTTCATAAATGCATTCCTTGAAACCTAAATGTATATCACTATTTTAAATGAAAAACTAATATAGTTTTCCATAATAGAAGGTACACTTAAGGAAAAAAAAATGGGGGAGTGGGTAGGTCCTGGGAGTGGATTTAACCTGGGCAATTTATCACAAAGCTACATCCCTAGCACTTTTTATTTTTTGTTATGGGACAAGGTCTCACTAAGTTACTTAGGACCTTGCTAAGTTGCTGACACTGGCCTTAAAGTAGTGATCCTTCTGCCTCAGTCTCCTGCTAGGATTATAGGTGGGCACCACTGCAGCCAGCCCAAAATTTTAATATTCTAGCAAGATGTTCAAAGCTGAGATATACTTTATCCTTATTAGAAAGTAGAATTAGCATGACATAGAGAATTTTAAAATAAACCAGCACCAACTTGGAACTTTCTTCTTCATGCCATCAAGTTAAAACCAATGTAAAGGGAACAGTTTTTCTCACTGTGATTTTTAGTATTTAACACCATGTTCCAACACCTCTTAAATTTATCCAAATTACTACCTCAAATAATCTCACCATCAGATTTTGAGAAGTTGTAATTTAATGGAAAAAGCACTGATTTAGAGTCACATACCATGAGTTGTAGGCCTTACTCAAATCTACTAGCTACAAGACCTGGGCAAGTCATTTAGCTTTGATTTTTTTTTCTTTTTTCCTTTCCTAAAACAACCATGACATTTTTTATACCAGGTTGAAAAATCCTCACTTTTGTGTAACCCTTACAAATTACTCTATGGAATAGGAATTCTAGAATAAAAACAAACTTAGAGAAAAGTTTAGTTCCTGGACTAAACATTAAAATGTGTGATTTTTCATGCCTCTTCCATCCCTAAAACACTGATTTAAATCCAAACTTAACAACTGTTTAATGTACCATCCTTCCAATGAGGAATCATATTTCCTAAGGTTAATTTTTCTGAGGTAAAGAAAACATGGTTACAAAATGGAACGAGGTATTTGTAATTTAAAATTATTCCCAGTAGGTGGCACCAACCACATCTAGGCTTCAAGTCACCACAAATACTGGTTATTCAGAAACAGGAAAAGTTGTGGAATGGAAGGCCCTGGCTTTCTATTACTCTTAGGACAAAATGTGTCGTATATATATTCCTTTTTTTCATTATATAATAAAAAAAGGAAAACAAACTATTGATGTTTTGTGTCATGTTCTCTGGCACCAAGATGAATAATCGCAGCCTTGATTAAACTATATTAAAACTCAGTATTCTGTTGTGCAATGCTTACTTATCATTATTCTATCTGATCTTCAGTTCTCTCCACTCAAAAAAAAAAGTCTATTTACTTCTTCCACAATTCTTGTCTAATTTGTTTCTCTCCACCACAGTAAATCAGACAATTAGGATACTGAAGTAAAACACGGGATGGGCAATTGTACAAGGACTATTTAAAGTTTAAGTACTTGATAGTGCTCTTGGATGATGTCCCATTCCCTATGCTTTCAAATGAGCTGAATTTCATAAACCTGTATTAGAGATAGGTTGGAGTGCAATTTTGGTCATACTTCCCAGAGAAATCAGGGTACAGGCCCTTCTGTTCTAGGCATTTCTGAATAGAAAAAGGTTTTACACCACTGCTCTTGGCCAATAGTCCCTCCTCCCACTGTCTGATGAGCTGGTTGGCTGAGTTTTAGTGGAGTGATCTATTTGGTTGGCAAATATTACTGACTTATGTACACTTCAAGCAATCTGTACTAAGCAATTTCCTTGAGGCCCGGGATGTAGCATTACCATTGGCTATCTTATTGTTAGTATGCTATTATCACCTAGTTTTCTAAAAGAGAAGAATATTTTTCTGTTTCTCATATCTAGGGTGAAGGCTTTCCTTTTGACTTTTCAAGAGACAGCTCACTTTTGAAGGAATTTGCTTCCCCAGCCAATAAAAATTATAATTTGACACAGGGTACATGACAGACCCTTCATGGCCTTTGTGGTATCAAGAAAGTAGTTTGTGTTCTTTGGAAGTCACCTCTAAAGTGCATATACTAAGCAATCTCTAAATTCAGCTAAATTTCTCATCACACTGCTGGTGTTTAAGGAGGAGATTTATCTTCAATAATAATATAATTTGTGATAATATATTTGATTTTGACAGTCTGGCTTTTCTCTCACCTGCCCCCAACTCTTAGCATTTTCTTTGGATCTTTGAGACAGAAGGTTCTCCTTCAAGAAGAACCTGAAGGTTGGATGTGGATATTCTCCTACACTTATAATTCATATGAAAGCCTGTTGAGATGGGAAATGAACATCCTTGAGCCCTTATTTACTCTATAACCTTCTGTTCCAAAAGCAAGTCATTCCTCCTGCCTTTAACCTTTGGTTTGCTTTAGTGTTACTCTACCTGATGGCTGAAAACACTTCGACAGGTGCTGCTGAAGGGAAAATAGTAGTTTTGAGCTAAATTGCTGAAAGGCTGGGATGGAAAACCATCACTAGCTCAAATCTCTATCCTTGATAAATAGTATTGCTCTCAAGTATAGTTTTTTAAAGCTTTGAGGCTATCTTAACCTTTTGAATGTCAGAGTTAGGTTTATAATATTAGTAGGTTATGCAGTTAATTTCCAAGCTAAGGTCATTCTTTTGCTTCCTAGAAAACCTCACAGAAGTCCAAGGGGAGAATAAAAATCCTTTTTTCCCCCTAAATATAAATTTTGAAAATTAAAATCATTAAACTGTACCTTTATTAATGTATGGTTATCATAATAGATGAGAATAGATTCACCTTATTTGCATCACACCCTCAGGGGAACAGCAGGATGTCTAGGACAGAGTGACCATCATACTTGTTAAATAAAAGAAGATACCCAGTTAAATTTGAATTTCAGATAAACAATAATTTGCAGTATCGGTATGTCCCAAATATTGCATCGGGCATTTTTATACTAAACACTTTTAGTATAAAAATACAAATTAAACTGGGTGTCTTATATTTTAGTCTGGCAACTCTAATGCATGGCGAATATATACAGCCCCCTATAATTCTCCTCTTTCCCCCTTTTATTGCTTCCCTTCCCCTCAACCTATGCCTGTCATTCTCCTTGCCTCCTCTTTCTCTTCCCCCACCCTACTTTTATCTTTTGTTCATTCTCTGCTATTCACAGTTGACCATTTTTGTGGAATCTCTGCCTGGGTTATCCAAGTACATGTACATATGTAAATGTTTTATCTTTCCACTTCATGTAAATATTGTATTAGAGTACATTTTGCAGATTTACAAAGATGCTTAACTTGCAAGTCATTCTCAAATGATCCCTCTGTCTGTTGCTGCCCAATGTGGGCAGAAAACAAGAGGTCCACTGCTCCAAAGTTAAAATATTGTTTGGTGAAATTATTTTATGAAATAATAATTATAAAATTTATAACAATACTAATATCTATTAGTCCTATAGTAATAAAATTATATGATATTGTGATGAATGTTAATAGCCTTACAACTCAAAATCTAGGTTCTAAGGGCACTACAACTATGGGAAGAACAACTACTGGCAGAAATGAACTCAATGTGGTGAGAATTATTTTCTTTTTAAAATTCCCTATTTAAGACACTGGAGTGATAGAAGGGGTAAATATTTGTAATGCATTTGTTTATTTGTTTGTTGGTTTATTTTTGTAGTGTTGGGAACTGAACCCAGGACCTCATGCATGCTAGACAAGTGCTCTCTACTTCTGAGCAACATTCCCAGCCTTTTAAATGCATTTGTTAACATACATTCTAATTTATTATTTTTTTAAGGAAATTCACAAAATGAGTACCAGGGCCCTCAATGTTTTAGCTGTCTTTCTCTCTCTTTTTTTTCTCCTATTTTAGAGAATTCTGGGATCAAAGACCTACAATGCACAACAAGGAGCCAAAGGAAATCAGTCTGATGATGCAGGAGGGAGGCTCTTATTTCTGAGGTCACTGCCAAAGGAAGCTCTGAAGGATTAAAAAGCTTTCACTCCATTTGCTTTGGACAGATTTAAAGACTAGGCACAACCATTTGTGTTAATTAAAATCTCTCAAACCTTTGTTTTAGTGCTGTTTTCCCTTTCTCCTCCCACCAATGTAGGTAGAATTGTTAGATGCTTAGTTTAAGCATGTCAGGAATTCAGTCATTTAGGGATTGTAAACAGCCTCTGATTATTTTCATCATTCTTGGATTTGAAATTTCTAGGTTTAAACCACATTGTATGTAGTTCAAATTCATAAAAAGGAGTTGTCTATTTCTGAGGTATTTACTTCTGGGTATATCCACTAATGGCAAGTAATAGGTACAAAATAAAGAAACTTACATTCCTTAGACTGATTTTACTCTTTCACCAATCACATCCAATTACCTTGTTGATTCTGCCTGCTTGCTATGTGCTAAGTATCTTCTACCTTCCAAGTACCATTGTTTCAGTTCAGGCCCTCTTTCCTTCCTGGATTACCATATCCTCTTAATTGGTTTCCCTGCTTCCTATTCCTCTAGTCCATCTCTCACAGTACCTTTGAAGCTATCTTTTCTGACTAAAAGAAAAATGAGATCATGTTACCTTCCTTATTGGGTTCTTGTGGATTCCTTCACAGGCCATAAATGCTCTGTCTCCTGCCTACCTCTCCAGACTTATCATTCACTGTCCCCCTGCCTTCATACATCCTATATTGAGCTATACAGAACTATTTGTTTCTTTGATATACCACAAGTTTTATTATCTTCATGCACAAAGCTTAAAGATTCTTCTCTTCTTGTTTTATTGATCATTGCCTATTTTTCTTAAGGGTTGAGTTTAGTGCCCTTCTATCCTGGTCATTCTCAATCCTAGCTGTGGATTATCATTCCCTTGACAGCTCTGAAAAAAGAGCATTTCACTGGGTACCTCCCCAGGTCATTTAAATTATTACAAAAACATCTTTTAGAAAATCTTTCCAGGAAATTGTAGGGTGAGCTATATTTGAGAATCATTGCTCCAAGCTTTCATATTTCTATTATAGCACTTACTTGCAATTATTAATTTATTACATTGCAATTATTGATTTACCCAGATATCTCTCTCACCAAATGGTGGGCTCTTTGAGGGCACAGGATTATGTCTTGTTCATCTTTTCCTTTTAATCAACCAATATAGTACCTGGGATTTAACAGGAGCTCAGTAAATGATATTGTATAAAAATATAGAAAGTTAATTGCCATGTCTCCATTATTGTATCTTTTGTTTATTTTGGGCACTTGGGCTTGAACCAGGGGCACTCTATCACTAAGCTACATTCCCAGTTCTTTTAATTTGAGAAAGGGTCTTTCTAAGTTGCCAAGACTGACCTCAAACTTGCCATCCTCCTGTTTCAGCATCCTAAATTGCTGAGATTATAGGCATGGGCCACTGTGCCCTGCTTGATACCCTGTCCTGTGTAAAATACCTAAGTTACATTATAGCTCCTATGATCTTCAGCTCTTAAAGTTGTCATTAATTTCCTATCTCATTTCAATATGGAAAAGTTAATTTGTCAAAAAATGCTTCATAATAAGAGATTCATCGGAATATCTTATACTTTTCTGGTAACAAGTAAAGGCAATTAACCAATGCAAAATCTTTTTCCTACCAACATCAATTTAAATCCTTATTAAATGTGTACTTTGAAGGTAAATTCTAAAGGTAAGTGTACTTAATGAGTGGAAAATATTTATATCACAGAATTTTTGGCATTAGAAGGAACTTTACATAAGCAACTTCCTTCACTTTACAAAAGAAGAAACTTGAGTTCATATACATTGAAAGGGTGTCCAAAGCCTCATAGTTATTTGAGCCAGAATAAGTCACCACAGCCAGTTCATATTTCAGTCTAACACATTATCATCCCATTCCTAACTCCAAAAATAAGTCTCTAAAGCCATAACATGATTAGTTTTATGTTTTGCTAGCCCAGTTAGCTGAATAGGTAATCCCCATTCTGTTTCAAGAAAGCTGCCTCTGCATATTTAGTTCCTGAGAGACTTGGAAGTCCTGAGATTTTCCAAATCAATTGAATTAGGCAGAGCAAGGAGGACAAAAGACAGGAACATAAAATCTGACTGTACTACTGACTACCTTGACATAATTGTTTAACCTAAGGGTCTTAGATTCTTAATTTTACGATTGGATTAAAAGAGCACCATTTGAATATTTTTTAAAATGTTAATTTTTACCACTACAAAGGGTTTAGATTATATATGATATCTGCCCCCAACTTTTTTTGGTTGTTAACTAAGCTAGTTTACTTGCTGTTAGAGGCTTATAATTTCTTTAAAAATGAATCCTGTTATTATCAAAGTATTTCAAATTGTAAATTCATCATCACTCAGGCTTACCATCTTTCCTTCAAATGTTCCAAACCTTTCAATTTCTTCAAACATGAAACTGAAATATTGTAGCCTTTTATCATTTTTTTGAACTTTGAGAAAATAGTTCTTATTTATTTTTGTTTTTTTATTTATACATGACAGCGGAATGCATTACAATTCTTATTACACATATAGATCACACTTTTTTGTATCTCTTGTGAATATACTCAATCATTTGTTTTTAAGATTCCAAATTGAATTCAGATTTTTGCCTATTGTGATGCAAAGTTATAAGATTGGCTTGCTAGTCATTGGCTGACTAGTCAACAAGTTTATTGAGTCATGGATATGGATCTCAGCTTCACAGATACAAATTTATTGAGTACACTTGTCCAAAAGATCAGAGACTCATTAGAGCTACTCAGACTAAGAGATAAACCAAATATTAACTTAAATTACAGAGAGGACTTTAATTCCAACTTGATTAAAATATATCTATATTATATTCTCATCTCTAAATCAACTAAGATGTACTGAGTTAGTAAGCAGAAATACTTGGGGTTGAGACATCATTATTATAGTTTATTTACACTCATTACATTTCTCCCAGGATAAAACCATTAATGATTATACCTGGGAGATACTTTTTAATTTCCAGTCCAGTTGAGGGAAAACCCTGTCCTATTGGCAATATATTTATAAACCATTACTTTGGGTGATACTATTTTTGTGGTATATTTATATTATCTTTGACTTTTTACCTATTCAGAGGCTTTTTGGCTACTTGCTAACATTTTACCTACAAATGTTGCCTTTTTGCCATGGTAAAGAGATTTTGTCACACTTTTTGAAATAAGTTCAACAACAGCTTGATATTTTCATCTTTCATCTGGAATTGCAATCATCAAAGAGGGAAAGTGACAGTGTATAACATTTTGGCCTTAAACTTGTAGATCCAGACATAAAATTCATTTTTAGTTGTATGACTATGGCCATCACAGTGTCTCATTTTATAGGTAGAGACTTCTGCAATCTGTTGCTTGTTCAGATAAATTTCTAACAGCCTGCCTGGTATTTGGAAGGAGTCTGAGTTGCTTCCAATTCAAAGTCCCCATTGCTTCATATTTTGCATTTAGTCACCAAACATTAGGAAATGGGAAGAGAACAAAGTTCCATGTTAGAAAGGGAGATTGAGACGAATCAGTCCTATAGCAAGAGATATTCAGGCAGATAAATATAATTATTAATTGGTAAAAATGAAAATTTTCATGAAAATTAAAAATCCATTTTTTCTGCTTCTTTCACAAATTCACTTATGCTACCTAATATACAAAATTTTTATATAAGGCTCATTTAAAGCAGAAAACACAATATAAATATTCTTATACACCATTTTCTAAGTATTAGTTGATCTGGTAGAAAATAAGATTGTTTAGTTTAACAAAATTATTTTCTTTCTGTAAATTTATTTTACAGAAAAAAATACTTTTCTGGGAAGCTGATTTTAAGTTTTGGTCACACTGAAACCAATTAATAATTTAAGCATGAATGTTCTGATTTTTAAAAAAGGTTCCCTTAAATTCAACCCATGTTTGTTTTTATAATTGGGACTATGTTTTCTGACTTATATATACTGAATCCTAAAAATTGAATGTAGACAGAGAGCCCTTTTAAGAAATCAAATACCAATACCAATTGAATATCAGCAAAATGGCTGACTAGAGGTTCCTAATACCTGTACTCTCCAATATATATATGTATATGTATATGTAAATGTATGTGTGTGTGTGTGTGTGTGTGTGTGTGTGTGTGTGTGTGTGTGTATTTTAAAGACCAAAACACTGAATCAACAACACTTGGCTGGTGTATCTCAGGGAGAGCACTGGAATATAGCAGGAAAATAGTAGAGACCTAGTAGAGAGGCTAAAGATGACCCCACAGAAAATAGAACAAAACACCCTGTCTTTGCCATACTGTATTCTCAGTTAGGGTTAGGATAAAGGACATACTCCCCCTCAAGTGATACTAAGGTAAGAAGGAAGTCCATAGCAGCCCCCATTAACATCATAGACACCTATAGACTTTGCTGCTAGAAAATCTTGCCCCCACCATCCTCATTCTCTGAGCCCAGTTTAGAGAGAAGCTCACATATTCATATTATCCTAGAGAAAGAGCTCACATTGTGCAAGCCCCCAAATCCCCAACCCAAGCTGTAGCCATACAGTACCATCTTAACACTGAATCACTGAATACAAGTAGAGAATGTCCTACTCTAGGTACCAGTAGCCACTGGCTACTCTTCCATTACACAGTGCTTACACATGATAATGCTGAACTAATGTAGGTACTTATGTTCTGGAAACAAACTGCCTAATATACATTCCACTTTCCACATTCCAGTGACTACAGTGATCCAGAGTGACTCAGTCCTGGAGTTAATCCACAAAGCACCTTGTCCCCAAGGAACAGGCAGTTCTGCCCAGCACAGGAGGTGAGACCAGATTGGTCATACACAAAGTGGACAGATCTACCAGCTAAATGTGTTATTCCAGGGGAGCCCCACCCCAAACTGGCAGATCAGTCTCGCAAACTCCTATGGTCTAGGCCAACAACACATTTGCAAGCATAGCTGCTTTTGACTGAAACTTGTTGGGGTCTGATCTCCTGAAGTCATGGAGAGTGTACCTGGAAGAATCCAAACATGGAGTTCCTGTTTATTAGCTGAAGCTA